CCCCAAAACCCCAAAACCCCAAAACCCCAGAGTTCCATTTAGAAATTGAATGAATTATAAATCATATTTAGAGCATCAGAATGGAGAAGTAGCCATCTTTTAATATCTCTGTATGAAATAATTATGATAAATTGAGCCCCTTAACTATAATCTTTGTACAGATTTTTATTATAAGATAGATAGACTGTCAATGCTTCTTTTCATCATACTGAGAACTTCCTATTTTTACTTGTCTCTAGGTCAGGTTCACTATTAGCTTTCTTGAGGAACTCTTTAGGAAATGAAGTAAAGGCGACTATTTAATCAAAATACAAAGTGAATGTTTTCTTTATGGTCTTAAGCATAGCTTTGAAGATAAAATCTCTGAGAATAGGTCACATTATATTGACAATCAAGTCATAATCCAATAGATACTCCTTTTTGCCTTTTAAGACCAAGTCTTGTAAATAGCAAAAGTGAGATTTTATTTATTTGATATCTCCTAACCTTCTAAAATATCTAGAAGTTAACTGCAAAGTCTTCAAAATGCTCACGAAATGGCAGCACAGAATTTTCTGATGGCTCTCAGTTTTTAAATTTCAATTCCTCCTGCTCTTTTACACTTTCCTCTTTGCTCTGATTGTCTTAACTTATTTGTGAGAGATTTACAAGCTCCTGATCTCCTCAGAAGAATTCTTTCTGAATTGCTTTAGGTTCGAAACAAATGTTTCGCTTGTTTACTTATTGGGCTTCTCTTTGGAAAGACTTCTATTTATGATTCTCTTGAGACTGGCTTATTTCTTCCTTTAAGAATTCAAGTTGTGTTGCTCTTGTTCTTTTGGCTCTTCATATACTCCATCTTCTAATCAGGTTGATTGGCTTAGTCATGGTTAGGTTTGCTATTATTTAGCTTGACCTAATCAGTATACTCTAGATCTGAAAATTTAGGAACTTGTTTATGGCCAATAGAAACATCGTGTTGATTTATCCTCCTCTTCAACTCTTGATTTGAGAGGACTTGTTTGTGTTGAGACTCTTCAGGCTTGTTCTGATAAATCTGAAGATTTTTATTTCCGGCTTCTGGACTAACTTCTTTAAAATTGTGGCAAGAGACTCTCCTAATTTTGACAGATTATAAATATTAGCTTATTGCTTTCCAATGGAATGCACTATTCATATACAGAAGACTTTTAACTTTTCTGACAAATGATTCTCTTGTTCAGTACTTATTTTTTATTTCTTGAATAATTATAAGCTTGTTCTCTCTTCTTTTTTTAAAGAATCCTTTATAAATATCACTATCCAAAGGATTTCTAAACTCCATTGGCTATATCTCAGGAATCTTTTTCTTATTATAGAATGGATACCCATTATCATTGCTTTCAACTTCAATTTTCTTGTTGTTTTCCCTAAATTTATAACTTACCTGATTCCTATACTCTTCCAAATAGCTCTGTTTATTTGTCTGTTTCAAAACTTTCTTCTACTGGAGCACTTTTTGGTTGGCTTCCTTCTGTTGTGCTGCTCTTGCTTTAGCTGTAAAACTAATCAATCAAACTTCTTAAGCACCTTTTCTGCTAAGCCTGATTACTGAGTTAAAGCATTTTAATGGCTTCATCTGATCTTGCAAATAAAAAGTCATATCATTAACATTGTTTGGGAATGAGAAATTCACAAACCTTATAGCATGCTTATTTAAGGGATTAAAGCCATGCAGCACGAATGAGTTGATATCAAAGAACTTTAAATATCTTAATTTTTGTAAAAATGTTGAATCCTCTCCCTTACGAAAATAGCAAATAAATCTACCAAAGTTAAAACTTTCTCCAGAGTTTAGATCCAGTGGCTTTTCATAAATTATCTCTGCAAAGATATTATAATAAACGCTGCAGCAACGCTTATAATCTCGCTTCTTTTCTTTTGAAAATATAGATCTCTCTATACTACACCACTAAAATCTATCAATCATGACTAAAACACTATCAGAATTTATCGGCCCATCCTAGAGTTCCCTATTTCCTCCTTTTCAGTGCATAAAACCAGCCCCAAACTCCCCTACCCATCCCAATGCCCAGCACTCCAAGTGACCCCTTCCCCCACTCACGCTTGGTTCCTTCTTCTTCTTTTCCTATCCCAGTCAGCTGGTTTTCCATTTTTCTTAAAAATAGTGTAAATTTCGGTTTTTATATGTATAGAAGGGGTTTTGGGGTTTTGGGGTTTTGGGG